AAATTTATGTTGATGATATTATTTTTGGTGCAACTAATGAATCCTTGTGCAAGTACTTTGCTGATTTAATGAGCAGTGAGTTTGAGATGAGCATGATGGGGGAACTCAACTTCTTCCTTGGGCTCCAAATTAAGCAAACTAACGAAGGAATAATGATCCATCAGCAGAATTATGTGAAGGAGTTATTAAAAAAATACAGTATGGAAAGCACAAAGATAAACCACACTCCCATGGGAACAACCACAAGGTTGGACCAAGACCCCAAGGGAACTTGTGTGGATCAAACAAAATACAGAGGTATGATTGGTTCCTTGTTATATCTAACTGCTAGCAGACCTGACATTTCGTTTAGTGTAGGTCTTTGTGCAAGATTTCAATCGGATCCAAAGGAATCGCATCTAACAGCCGTCAAAAGGATTCTACGATACTTAAAAGGGACGGAAGACTTGTGTCTGTTCTATCCAAAAAGTGACTCGTTTGACCTAAGAGGATATGCTGATGCTGACTATGCAGGAGATTTGGTAAATCGTAAAAGCACGTCAGGTATGGTCCAATTCTTAGGCTCTTGCATGGTCTCTTGGAGTTCCAAGAAACAAAACACTGTTGCTCTATCCACTGCCGAAGCAGAATATGTGGCTGCTGCTGCATGCTGCTCTCAATTGCTATGGATAAAACAACAGTTGCGTGACTATGGCATTATTTTAGAGTGCGTTCCTATTCATTGTGATAACACAAGTGCCATTTGCATTTCTAAAGATCCAGTACAACACTCTAAAGTTAAGCATATACATGTAAGGCATCACTTTTTGAAAGATAATGTTGAAAAGGGCTTAATTAAGCTAGATTTTATTTCTACTGAATTTCAAATTGCTGACATTTTAACTAAGCCTTTAAGCAGAGACAAGTTTGAAAAGATGCGTGTGGAATTGGGGATGCTACGGCTCAAGTGACTTTTGTTTGGAACCCCTAAGGTAAAATCGGATGTAACTAACGATGCTATGCTCAATCTTGTGTGCATAACACAGCTGAAATTACCCAGGGGAAAGATTTGTGAAGTATTGAAAAGTCACGTATACATACTCTTAATATGTTAAAAATATTGAGCCATGTTGTTTCAAGTTCCCTTTTCATCATTCTTTACTCTCTGTATCATGATCACGTAAATTATCATCATAATTTACAATCAATTTGCTCTTATTTATCTTTTTCATTTTTTATCTGTTTTTCTTCTTGTTATTTTCTTTCTTATCTTTTATTTCTATCTTATTTTTTATTCTTATCTTTTTCCTTCCTTATTTTTTCATGATCAATTTTTCTATTCCTCATAACATTCAAAAATACAAAAAGATTTTTTTTCACGTAAGATAAGGAGCTAACATATTCACTACTCCTTAACTTCCGTATTTTTATCTATCTTATTATTGTGATACGTTTGAAAGATGCAATTATTACATCCTATTAAACCCATACTACCCCTAAAACTACCCTACTACCTTACCATACAAACCGTCACTTTTTCTCACCCTTCCCAATTAAATTTTTTCTTTAACACTCCACCTTCACCCATCAAATCAATTAAACTCCCCATAAACTTCCATAACCGGCCTCACTCTCTCTCCTCCCTATTCACACTATTCATCTTCTCCTTCCTTTCAATTCATCCTCATAACCATGAAAACCAACCTAACCTCAACCCCGAAACAACCAAAAACCCGGAAGCCTTCCTCTGTTGGCGGCTCCCCTGAACCAGTCCCACTTGCCGTTGTTCACCCTCAAGCTTCGACAAAGAGAAAGGCTACAACCGTGAAAGGAGGTGACAGAAAGAGGCAAAGCTCTCAAAAGTCTCCATCTTGGAATTACACTCACGGTTATCACATCAATTATGACTGGTGTACGGCAAGTAAGTTCTCCGAATTCATCTCCTTAATTGATTATCAAGAATGGGTGCATTTGTTCCAAAATTGTTCTCACTATCCAATTTACCCTAAGCTTTTGTTTGAATTCAAAAATACTTTCAAACACAACAATGGTGTTTGCACGGCTACGGTCAAAGATACTCACATTCATTTTGATATTGCATATTTAGGGAACTTGTTTCAAGTCCCCACCTCTGGCTATAGTTCATACCTAAAACACAAGCAAATTGTGCAAATTGGGCATTATGATGAGAATAGGGTTATTAAATTTATCGGTGGAAACCCGAAAAGCAAGACTTCGCATCATAACATACTCACCCCTCTTCACAAATTATTGTTCAATTTCACATGGAGAGGCATTGTTCCTCGTTTGCAAAAACGTAGCACAGTATCCCTACTAGATGCAACCATCATCTTTTGTCTTGCTCGGAAAATAAAAATAAACTTTCCAAAGTTGATGATTGAACATTTGGCTTTCTATGCAAATAAATCTACTATTCCATATGGATCTCTCCTCACTGTGTTGTTTAAGTCTTTTGGGATTGATGTTGAAAGTGAGTCACCCACTTATATTAAACCTGAGAACATTCTCTCGGAGCAATCTTTGCTTCGCCTGAGCCTTAAACTTGAGAGTGGGACACTTACTTTCTTGACGAGAGGAAGTGAGCAGAAAAATCGTGGAAAAGGGAAAACACAGGTTGTAGAGGGAGATACAAGTGAGTCAGAAGAGGAGGAAAGTGAGTCTGAAAAAGAGGAAAATAAAGAAAAAGGAGAGGAAGAAAAAGGAGAGGAAGCAATTTCAGAGGGGGAACCTCAGGAGGCAGTTTCTGTGGAAGAAGAGGAGACTCAGAGTGAGGGGGAATCTAGCTCAGAAAGTGAGAGTCTCGACCTCCCTTATACAGGAGGACTAAGGCGGAGTAAGAGGAAAATTGTCAAACCTGCTACTTCTACTCTAAAGCCTGTGATCATTGAAGACATTAGCTCTTCTGATCACTCAGACCCTGATTTCACCCCTACACAAGTTCCTTTTGCCTCCGAGCCATCTCCTGTTCCTGCCTCTCCCACAAACCAAGCTAAACCCTCTTCCCCTCCTGTTTCACCAAAACAGACTTCTCCCTCTCCCTCCCCAGCTTTTCCTACATCACAGCCTACAGGCTTTGCTGCCTTCTCTGGAACAAATGCTTCTGTTTTTGATATTCAACAGGTGAAAGCAGAAATGGAGAAGCTGGTAAAGATGGTGTGCACAAAGCTGGAGGACATGGCAAAGCAGCTGGCTTCTCTTCAACGCCAAGTGCAGGCTGTGGCAGATGCTCAGGCAACCAGTTTTACTGGGATGGAGAACAAAGTTGATGCTGCTGAGAAGAACATACTGCACAGCACTCAGGAGATATTGGAGACGATTAACAGGGTGGCTTTTGAAGAGGTGGAGGAAGCTTCCAATGACCCCAAAACCCCAGCTGATGAACCTACTTACTCACCATAATTGCAATTTCAAACTTGTCACTTTTACTTCTTTTGTTTTTGCTTGTTCCATTCGGATTTCAGTTTGTAACTCATAACTTTTGCTACTCTTTCCTGCTTTTGATTTTCGTCTATGGGAACTTGGCTCGTATTTTTCATATGATTGTGTGTGTTTGCTGATGATTTAGTACCTAACTTATTTTTGCCTTGCATTATTTGAGCTCACTATTCCCTACGTAGTCTAGTGGGAGTATAGCAAAATGTTTTTTTCAATCTTTTGATAATGCCAAAAGGGGGAAAAAGACAAACTTCATGGCGGCTAAGGTGTTTACCAAGGAACTCACACATCGAAGGTACAAACTTTTGCTAAGTTCAGTTTTTAAAGTCTTTGTTAATTTTTCTTTTGCTCAGTTTTTTTTAAAAAAAAAAAAAAAAAAATAATAATAAAAAAAAAAAAAAAAAAAATACTTTTTAATATTTTTCTAAGTTCTTTAATTGTTTTTTTGTTTTCATGTCTTACTTTAAATTTTTGTTGCATGCCTGGATGATTTTATTTACCTAAGTTTGTCAATGTTTGTCATCATCAAAAAGGGGGAATTTGTTGAGCCTTTTGGTTTTGATGGACAAATTGACAAACTCGACTAATGAATGTTTTGAGTCTTTGGTGAATAAAGGATTCAAGCAAAGTTCGTTCCGGAGTAGGAACTTGGATGCGGAGTAGCATTCTTTAAAAAGCCTCGTGCAAATCTCACGTTCTAGTTTTAATTGTGAGCACTCAATAATATAAAGTCGGAAAGGAACTCAATGACTTATGTTAAAGACTACTGGAATAAAAGTTAGTTTTAAAAGATAATTTCTTAAAGAAAAGATAATTTGTAAAAGTTTTAATAAAGATAATTATCGAAGATAATTATCTAGTTGTTTTAATAAATAATAAATTTATCTTTTCAAATAAAATCTTTTTAAACAAACTTTTGATAATCTTTTAAATAAAATATTTGATAAAGTTAGCAAGTGGTTTTTCTGTGAGAAAATCTTTTATACGGCTAATGGTTATCAAGTTGTTAGGATAGTGGTTTAATTAGATAAGGCTAGGAAACCTCTTCATGATCACAATCTGTCAAGATAACTCCACAAGTTGTTAGTGGGTTGTTGACATGTGGACGTGATTATGGTGGAGGTTAATGACTAAGCCTTCTCTATAAATACTCGTGCAAACTATCTCAGAAAAACATAACTCTTAAGCATAAAAATTCCAGTAGCCATCTAATAACATAAAGAGAGTTATTTTCCTTCATATATTCTTGAGTGCAATAGGTATTTGTAATCACAGATTGTATACAAGTACTTTGGGGTTGGGATTGTGAGTTTGTAAGGTGAGGTTAAGGAAGCTTCGTTGCTGAAGTCTTCTGTGAGAGTTGGGAACAAGTTCCTAATTTGGGGAACTTGTTAACGGGTTTGAATCTTCACTTGTACAGAGTTTGATTACATAGTGGAAATTTAGAAAAGCCTATATCTTCTCTCGTCATTATTTCATTTAGTTAAATTCCGCAAAAAGTTTTTAGATTTCACCTCAAATACAATTCACCCCCCCTCTTGTATTAGCCAGTTAGAGTTTCAAGGGTGGAGTTCCTGCAGCAATCTCAGAGGTAATTTCCATTGCTTTGTATAATCAATTAAGTACGTAGGTCGTAACTTAGGAGTATTTATTAATTAGTTTAGTTGTAAGATCGACACGAACTCACGCTCCATCTAGAATTAGTTATCAATTTGTCATATTAATAATGATGTAATCGTAATTTAAACTAGCCTGTTATGTAACAAGATGACAACTATCTAATAAAAGGTACAATAATGTTGTAGACGTAATGTTAGAGTAAAGTATATTATATTTGATATCCTTAAGAGTGTGATAATGTTGTAGGAACTTGCTGGGAGAAGACTTGGCACCATTGGCTATAAAAGAGCTAGAACAGCTGGAGCACCAACTTGAGTTATCTCTGAAGCAAATTAGATCAACCAAGGTCATTTTTCCAATTTCGCTTTATAATATCATTTGTTGTTTATTTACAAGAGTTCATTCATATAGTAAAATCATAACATTATGAGATTGAGGGGTTTCTCAAATGGTTAGAACTTCCTTTTCGATTCCAGGAGATCTTGGGATCAATTCTCATTACCCGTTAAACAAAAAAAAATAAAAAAAATAAAAAATAAAAAAACATTATCCTACCTCAATGATAAATTTATAATGTAATATGTCGAAGGAAGATCAATTTGCCTTCATTCCTAGGGAGTAATATAAATTTGTGTTATTGTATGTGTAATGCACCAAATGTACAAAGCGATTGCATGACTTACTTGGGTTACTTTTTTCTATACAATTCTAGCAATTAGCGACTAATTTAGCAATTGATATTCATCACAACGCTACTATTCTCTTATAGGTGAGACGGTCGCATGTAAGAACTAGCTAGTAGATGTAGATTATTGTTAATTTTAACATAACACGCTTTGTTTTTAATTATAGCAAGCTTGATATATGATATTGTGTTCTATTTTCAGACTCAACAATTGATGGATCAAATGGCAGAACTGCGAAGAAGGGTATGTGTTTTTATTTTTCCATAATCGTATCGGATGATGTTCATTGCAATTATCCACCTGATAGGTATTAATTAGGAATTTATTTCTCCATTTGTGTAGGAACAAGCTTTAATTGAAAACAACAGGAACTTGATGAAGAAGGTATACACTCCTTTCTATGTAAATATATATTTGCCCTACTTCAACATATTATCATTAGGCTAAACGCATGTATTATATTACATGCAAGTGCAAAGGTTACATATAATATGCAACACACTTACACTTTTAAATGGTTAGCTAAAGGTTAGAGTACATCGCAAAATCTTATATGAGACAGACTTGTAATCATTTTTTTTTTATTGAAATCAATTAAAGTGATCGATTATGAGTTTGTCGATCCATCTTACTATAAGTGATTATTATTTAATAATACCACTACTTGCTTTGTAGGTTTTGCATCCTTTTGTATAGTTGACATTAATTTTAGTCTTTTTCCATTGCTTCTAAGTTGGTTCTAAGTCGCTTTGATGTTGCATTTTCAATTAAGTTGGAACATTGTAGCCCTCAAATCCCTCAAAGACTTGCATGGGAAGGTGATAACACTCAAGATCAACAACATATACCTTTCAGCCGCATTCCTCATCCATCCGAGGGCTTCTTTCAACCTCTTTATTGCAATCCTCCTCCCCAAATCGGGTACAATTTCAATTTCTAAACCCGTACTTTTGATCAAATCAAATATTGTAAATATTACAAGGTTTTTGTTACTAATTGTTTCACTTTAAATATTTATAACATGTAATTAATAGGTACAATAATTTGGAATCGACTGAAATGAGTGTTGCAACACCAAGCCAGCAACATGTCAATGGATATAATGTCCATGGTCACCATGGATGGATGCTTTGAGAAAATTAAGCACGTATGCACGCACGCGATAAGTTCAAATTGCGTACGTACGTATGACTTGAGAGATTATATGTATATTTTTCAAGCTAAGGTAAATTTTGGATTGTTTCTTAAGCTTAATTAGATTAAGGTATGACTCTATGTTTACTTATCATGATCGAGTTTTCGAGGGCAATTTTCATACGATTGTCCGTGATGTAATGACATAAAGAATGTAATCTTAACTGCTGCTCGAACAAATAGTATAATGATAGACTAGAGCATGGCATTCACCCCAATTTAACACTATTTTGCTTATAATTGTATGTAAACGGAAAAACGTATGTATGTTTATTTTTGTAACTACGCACGAATTTAATATTATATGATATGTTAAGATGCTTAATTGCATGCTTACTACTAGTAGCTATGGATGGGATTATTGTAAAGGGGTTTTTAATCATCACCAAGTTATGCTTGGAATAGGTAATCTTATTCTCTAGCTAGCAAATTTATCATTATTATTAATTACTCATTTTATAAGAGTAATATACTAATATTGATATAAATATGATCATACGACATTGCAATAGTTTAATTTTTGCAATATTATCATACTCACTTTATAAAAATAAAAAAGAAAATTATATATACAATTAATCATTAAAGTTCTGCATGCATTGATAAACGTACAGAGTAAGTACTATTTAGATATAAGGAGCTCCATAAGTTTTAAGGTTTTTCTAGTCATAATACATTTTTTAAAAAAAAAACCCTTTGTTGCAAGGTCGTCATGTACTATTTATTTACATCAAAAAAATGTGAGAATATACCATGTAATTTTAGTTTATATCATTCATATATCTAAATAAGGCATATATATATGAACCCTAACATACTCTGACCTACACTTCTTCAAAGCCAATTTTAGTCATAATCACTCACTATACCTCGCAAGTCTCATTCTCTCTTTCTCTGCATGCTAAGTCTCATTCATAAGCTAGCTATTATATGGCCCTCTAAAATTATCAATCACTCACTTGATCCTGATTATTTTCTTTGATCATGTTTACTTGGCCTTCGTTTTTTAACTACGGAATATTTTTATATCTTATGTTATTTTAAAATACTTGCAACACAACCTATTGAGGGCATTGACAAAGGGTTTAGAGTGTAATATAAATATTCAATTTGATCAAAACAACTTATATACTTCGTATACAACAATAAGAGGGTGAATTGGTGATAAATTCAGCTTACTTCATACGTAGTATATATTTATGTGTACATTCATATTCTCGAATACCCTCCTCTAAAAGAAGTATCAAAGGGCAAAGGCTATTAAAAATAGAGGGAGTATTGAACTAACTCTAAATGATCGAAAGCAATCTCTAAATGAGTATTTCTTTTACTTACATTTTTGCCAATCTAACTAAATTTGAGGACTACTAATTTTTGCTTAAATTTTTTTTGATGTTTCTCAATTAAATTTTTTTATACACACTCAATTAAAATTAAGTTAAAATTAAGAGGGACTTTTTTTTTTTTTTTGGGTCACCTTATACGAGTAGGTTTTTTTTTTTTTTTTGGTAATAATCTTGGTCCATATTTTTTCTTCATTGGGCTTAGGAAACAATGGGCTTTTTATTGATCCCCAGAACTAAGTTGGGCCTACTCAAGCAAAGAAATTTTATTCAGAGAAGGCTAAGCCATGGTTTCTTTAGTCCATCCTTTCTCCAAGTTTATTCCAACTAAAATGCAAAGCTACAAATTTATCTATAAAAGAAACTTTTGATGTAACACTCTTCTTATCAAATGACAAAATGGATCAGATAAATTATATTTCTAAAATTACTTAAATACTCTCTCAATTTTTGTACTCATTTTTCGTTTTCATCCGCTTTTCTAACTTCTACCCTTCTACCCGCTATTGATTTTTTCCTTTTATAACAAGTCTCCCCCCCCCCTTTTTTTTTTATAATCATTCACAGCTTTTATAATCATTCACAGCCTCATTTACATGCTCAATTTTATTTAATATTGAGATCTTTCACTCTCTATCTCTTTCTTCTTAGATACAAAGGTACTCATTTTCACTTTTTCTTAGTTTTCATAGCTGTGTACTACAGTAATTGAGTATAGCTCAGCAAAGTGAAAGGAGTTATTAAATACTTCCTCTGTTTTTTTATAAGTTGAAATTAGATTTACACATTTGTCGAGACACGACTTTGACCATCAATATCTTTAATTGAGATTAGTAAAAATTATGAAAAAAATTAATTTATAATAGTAGACTTATGACAAATCCAACAATATATTATATGATCATTTTTATATATATTTATATATTATATATTGGTAAAAAATTAAGTCAATGATGACATATGAAATTATGAATAGTGTAAATTTCCAACTCTAGCTTATAAAAAAACCGGACGCTGTATAGTCTTAGGGTATGTTACTCTAGCTTTTAAAAAAAACGGAGGCAGTATAATCTTAGGGTCTGTTCTCATACGTTTATTTTCACTTCAGTTCAGTTCAGTTCAACTCCTAATTTCCTTCTCTTATAAAATATTCATTTTAGTTCAGTTCAGTTCAGCTCCTAATTTCCTTCTCTTATAAAATATTCATTTTAGTTCAGTTCAATTCAGCTCAGCTCAGCTCAGTTCAGCTGAGTTCAGTCAATGAGAACATGCCCTAAATCTGACATCACCTACTCTTTATTAAGAACGGTTTGAGCACTATTCGATGTTTAATCAATACCATTAGGACTTGCTAACACAAATAAAAAAATAACCAAAGCAAATAAAAGTATGCATAACTAAACTTGTATTCGTCGGTGGAATCTTTAATGGGATTAAAACCGGGTCAAAGTGACTAAGGTAATTGGCTCGTTTTAAAGGCTTATCCCTTGGAGTACAAAGTACTACTCCGTATCTCATTTTCTATTTCAAAAACAATAGGACTTTCTTATTTTATACCCATTTAGGCCCTGTTTGATTCACCTTAATTTTGCTAAACTGAAATTATTTTTACTGAACTGAACTTATTTTTACTGAACTGAACTTAATTTTACTGAACTGAAATTATTTTTACTAAACTTAAATTATTTTTACTGTTTTTCTATTATAATTCTTCTTTAAGAAAACTGATTTTTACTGAACTGAAATTATTTTTACTGAACTGAAATTAATTTTACTGAACTGAACTTATTTTTACTGAATTGAAATTATTTTTACTTAATATTATTTTTTTAAGGTGAAGAGAACAGGGCCTTATATGTGACATATATATGGACCCCTAAGCTTTTGGTTAATCTAGGTTGGTAAAATCAATCATAGGACTTTACCCATCAATGAAAATTGAGTTGTTATTTACATTACAGTCCAAGATTGATTTCTTATGTACTCGTAATATTTTAATAGTATATTTTCACGTTTTGCATGATTAATACATTGGTTTTGATTACATATTATTAATCATATATATAGAAGAATAAAAACAAAAACTTGTAATTTTGCGAAATATATAAATTTATAGATTAACCTTATGTAATAACAATGTAATAAATAGATGATCGATGAAATTTTAGCTTTTTGGAAGCAATTAGGTGATTTGAACATAAAATCAACTATTTTAAGTATTTGAAAAATAGAAACCTTAAAGATTGAGCTTATTGGAATTTAATAATCTAATTCGAAAATCCTACTCAACCAAGTTTTTGGTAAGAGTTGTGGGAGAAATTTGCAATTAGTTAGAGTAACTAATACAATCATCTAGTCAAACCAATTAATACAACTATATATAACAGTTAGCTACTAGTTAATTATCAAACATGGTTTATTCACATCAAAGACAAGTCAAAGGCAAATTAGTGAATTGTATAATTTTATGCTTTATTTGCAGACCCTAAGTTGAGCTCATCGTTGGTTATGTTACCCTTAAATTTTTTCTCCACAGTGTTTCCTCCTTATTTAACAAACCTCAACTTCTGCTTCTTATCTACATGAAATCCTTGTTCCCCTTTTCTCCATAACAGTACAATATGCCAATAAGGTATGGAGTAGAATAATAAATATTGCATTGATCACCTACGATCCATAACTCCATTTACAGCGCATACCTCATTACCTAGTACCACACAACTTAACCTACCTAACACATCAGTTAATATGAACTCATCTCCCAAAATAATAATACTACAACTCAACATATGCACAATGCTCATTATGTACCAAAATTAAAAGAACGCTTATACATAAACAATAATCTAAACGAATATGATATTAAGGTAAATCTAATAAAATTCTAATAGCACCATAAACACATATTATTATGTCAGTGTCACAGAACACCGTTCAAAATATAGTTATGGTAATTTTAATAAAATTCCTGATAGAGTATAAAACATATTCTTGGGCCTCAACCACCAAGCTAAGTTTGGTCTAATGGTAAGATTGTCACCTTCCAACCTTTAGGTTAGAGTTCAATTATTAGAGTATAAAACATATTTTGGATCCTCAAAACTTGTGGTTGAGTTGGTCCTCTAACATGGTATTAGAGACAACGTGACATAGAGGTTATGGGTTCGAATCTCATCCACTCCTCCTTTAAAGTGGAATTAATTCGCACCAGGTATGGGTGGGCCTGTGTTGCATCTCCATTTAAACCTGAAGGGTCTTTCATGTGAGAAGAAGTGATAAAGTATAAAACATATTCCTAAGGCTCAACTATCAACTTAAGTTTTTTGTTGAATTGGTCTTGTTGGATATTTATGTAAATATTTTTGTATTAATGAAGAATTACGAAGAATAGTGTTGTATGACAAATTGTATGACAATTGGATTGTATGTTTGGATAATTGTAACTCTTCATTGGTAATTGTTAATGTGGATAATTGAATTGTTTCATTATTTACTATTCATTCGTTATGATGGATAATTGAATTGTTTCATTATTTACTATTCATTCGTTATGATGGATAATTGTATCTTTTCATTACTTGCATCTTTTCATCCATGTTTCTTTGTCTATAAATAGTTGTTGTTTGTTCTCATTTATGGATACAGAATATTAGTTTTATTTACTCTCTCAAGATATACATGCATATAGTTGCGGTTACTCTAATCTAGTTTGTTCGTGTAGACACCCATTTGTGTCTCCCCAAAACCAAACCCAGTGATGAGTGCCTTTCACGTCGAATCATAATCGAATGAAGCGAAAATGTAGAAAATATAGTGTTGCGGATAATTTTAATTACTTTTCTCTTCTCTCTGTTTTTGAAAACTTATTTTAAGAAAACAGCCAATCCAATTTGGTTGGTCCATGATATGGGTCCAATAGTAGTGTAGTTGGATGGGGCTTGACAAGAGCTTTCCAACGATATATTATAAGCCCAATTCCGATGAATATTGAGGAAGTTATGGCCAATTTACTAAATTGGGCCCGG